CATTATATTCTATATTTATATCCTATGACGTCACCTATAGAAGTTTCTGGATAACATTTGATAAGATTATTCCTCTTTACACATTACCGTATAACAATAGCAAAACATCGACATTATGGGAGGCGGGGGTATCATTTAGTGAGCCCATTGCTCACAGTGCCTCTAGTTTACTTTTTGTACGTGAAAAAAATTTTTAAATGATATCTAAAAATAATCTTTCATTAACATATATATTGTTTTTTGTCAATAGACAGTAACACCCGCATTATGAAGCTTGTCTCTTAATACAAACTCCTTCATACGATTTGGATAACCAAGGAAAAGGCCGAATTATTCTATTTCCCATGAATACCGATTGCGCCCCGTTAATAACAGACCTATTTTTTTTATTCATATGAAGCAGAATTTGTCCACAATCTTATACATGAAAAGAAGAAATAACTTGCAGTGGCCTTCACCTCGACATTTCGATATATCGACGACGTATTGACAATATGTAATATCGCCATTACCTCTTTGTTATCTAACTTACTACCGCTCTTTTGCAGACGATTCGAGAAAGCTCAATCTCTGAGGAACATGGCATTGTTTACAGCAGTGACAATCGAGTTATTTTATGCCGAAAGTACAATGTATTGCCATGGATTGAACTCCAAATAGTACATTGTCAAATAAGAAATGTTTAAAACATTTTATCAGTTTTAAATTGTGACGATTTTCAATGAAAATTTAATGAGAAAAATCCGCTTAGTAAAAAAAAACGCTAAAAAATTTAACATTTTAGGATTGGCTCCTCTCAAAAATTGATTAGAGTGGTTCAGCTATTCTTTAGCAAGGTATTCCACGAGGATTTTTAGGTCACCTAAGTAAATTCAAGTGACCTATTGCTATCCGTTTTCGTCCGTCGTCGGGTGTCGTGCGTCTTGTGTTAACATTTGAACATTTTCAGCTTCTTCTTTGAAACCACTGAACTGATTTCAACCAATTTTGGCATACAGTATCTATGGGTAAAGGGGAACGAAAATTTTGATTTTTATGGTCCCTGCCCCACTGGGACCTTGGGAGTGGGGCCAAGACCACTAAAATTAGTGTAGTCTTTAAAAATCTTCTTCTTAACTCCTGGGCATCAAGCAGTCAAACTGTTCGTATGGTTGTAATCAGCATTGAGTCCTCTACCAAAATTGTGAAATTCATGGCCCCAGGGTCAGAGTTCAAGTGCTAGGGTGGGGCTCTATTGATTAATGCAGTGAAAATGCATAATTTTTTTTGAAAATCTTCTTCTCTGCTCATGGGTATCAAATAAACAAACCAAGTAGATAGTTATGATGAGCAAGAGAGCCTCTTTCAGATTTGTGAATTTTATGGCCCCAGGGTCAGGGGCTATGGTGTAAGGGCGGGGCTCTATTTATTATATAGTCAAAATGCATAAATTCTTTGAAAATCTTCTTCTCTGCTCCTGGGTATCAAATAAACAAACTAAGTACATATTTATGATAAGAAAGAGTGCCTCTTTCAGATTTGTGAATTTTATGGCCCCAGGGTCAGGGGTTCTGGTGTAAGGGCGGGACTCTGTTGAATATATAGTGAAAATGCATAAATTCTTCGAAAATCTTCTTCTCTGCTCCTGGGTATCAAACAAACAAATGAAGAACATAGTTATAATGAGCAAGAGTGTCTCTTTCAGATTTGTGAATTTTATGGCCGCAGGGTCAGGGATTCTGGTGTTAGGGCGGGGCTCTATTGATTATATAGTGAAAATGCATTAATTCTTTGATAATCTTCTTCTCTGCTCCTGGGTATCAAATAAACAAACTAAGTACATATTTATGATGAGTAAGAGTGCCTCCTTCAGATTTGTGAATTTTATGGCCCCAGGAACATGGGTTTAGTTCTGGTGTTGGGGGGGGGGGGCTCTATTGATTACATAGTGAAAATGCAATAATTCTTTGAAAATCTTCTTCTCTGTTCCTGGGTATTAACTAAGTACATTGGTATGATGAGCAAGTTATTACCATTCTTATGCAGTATGTCCTGGTGAGCTTTAGATAAAATATACCACAGAGTCAAACACATCTGTTTTAAATTTGGATATTTTACTCGAAAAAGACGTTATTGGTAATTTAACAGCAAAGTTCAAGGATAAACGTGATGACTTTAACTTTTCAATAGAACTTCCCTTATTTATGCAGCAATATTCACTCATCACCTGCGTACAGTTTTTATATCTTTCAGCTCATTCGATACGCAAAAGCATGATCTACGAATGTACAATTTCTGAAATGAGGTTAACTTTTGATAAACAAGTTAATTAAACAAAAAATATTAGAAAGTCCATAGTTGATACAATGTCTTGTCAGCTGATACAATATATCATTGAGTCAAATGTTGATTGACCTGACGTTTTTCTTTACAATTGTTATTGCGGATGTGACCGGTAGACAGGGGATGCTTACTCCTCCATTGCACCCTATCCCATCTCTGATGTTTAGTTGGTATGTGTTTGCCCTATTTTGTAATGTTTTATGGACTTTTAATCTTCAATACTTCCTTTTCTCCGCATGTTTCATGTAAACACCGAACAAGTACCTTTGCTAGTGAACAGTCTGTTCACGAGGATACTTGACTTTCGGTATCATTTATTCATGAGTTCAAAGAATAAGACATATATATTATTATAATAGTAACTTGATCCGAAGAGTCGTAGCACGTCGAGTTGACAGGCGCGGATCATCAGATCTAACGAGACGCGAAGCGTCGAGTTTGATCTGATGATCCGCGCCTGTCAACGAGACGTGATACGGCTCTTCGGATAAAATTACTGTTATAATGATAAATTTATTATATACCCCCTTATAACTAGCTAAATATAGCAGAATAAAACTTTAGAGATCAATTGTATAATATTTATCCATAAAACAAAGCATAATAACAAGGGACTTTTTAACGCACAAGAAAAATAACGTCATATTTTTGTGTACTTCGTCATCAGTTTCAGAGAGTGGTGATATGGATTCAGAAAACCACAGTGTGGTGATCCGGAAAATCTGTAAAATTAACAGTAACAAAAACAAGGAAATTGATGGGTATATAATAAAATGATATACCGATAGATGTGACGTCCAGTAAAAATCCGCGTCACACCTTTTGGGTCTTTAAGGTAGGTCGCGCGCGGGTTTAATTGCTTTTGTCATCAATTTTGGTACACAATTTTGACGATTCGAGCGGTTGTTTTGTGCACATTTGATTATGACATAAGTTACGTCACAAAGGCAACGTCACGTTGTTTCCCGTTCAATTCTCTGCAAATGACTTCAAGTCTGTACGAATTTAAAAGTAGATTTAACACAAAGTGCATGCTTTTGTAAGTAAACCTTGTACATGTTTTATAATTAAATTTCAGTCTGAATTCTGGTGTGATTATATGTAATGTCTAAGGACTAATCAAATACAATACCAAATGAAAGCAATAAATTATATTTGGAGTGTAACTAAACTGCTAAAAGTCAATCAGAATAAATCAGCGTAAAAGTTTTGGCTTGCAGAAAGAAAGTTATCATGAATAAAAAATTGCTTAGCGAGAAACTTGAGGGATTTTATGTGCGCACGTTATTTGAAACTCAGGGGAACTTCAAATCAAAGCCGGGGCAAAAATATGCGTATATATTTCAGGATGGAAATTAATCTTCATCACTAAAAACGAGTTATATTTAATTACAAGTATTTTCCTGGTTTTTTTTTAAATTATCATTTATTTATTAATATTGGTTGGTTGTTATGTATTCAAACCTCGTGCACTCGCCTTGTTTTGCTAATAAATTGTGAAAGGCATTTTAAAAACCAAATTTATTCAAACACCTGGATTTTAAGACTTACAAAACACTGTAAACAATTTACAAGTATATTTTTTTTTATATGTTTTTTATGACAAAAGCTCAACGTGTAAAAGCTAAAAGCAAGTGTTTTACATTTTGCGTATTGAAATTTAATATAGAAAATTCGAAGTTAAAAAATGCTTGAAATTTAGAACCATATACTATAGCTTGCAACTAATATATAAAGAACATTGCAGGTAACCCCCCCTGCTCACTTTTTAATTCTTGCATATCCCATAGGTCAATATATTTATACTCGTACTGTAAACGTGACTGTTCAACAAATGACATTGTAGATATTTATAACGCCATAAACGCCAAATTTTAGCATTTTAAAAGAAAACATTTAAATTATTTAGCAAAAAATCTAGCGAGAAGGCATATTGATTTTTTATATTAATGGTTTTGATGTTACCTCATCTTGACATTTTGAAATTCCTGAATAATTCGTCTACGTCTTTAAAAAGTTATCCAACCTTTTTAAAAGAAACTGTTTTCACAAAATTGGCTTTAAAACGTCATTTCCCCATATATTTCAATGGTAAAAGCGTCAAAAAGGATTAAAAACTATACCGCGTTTACAGTACTATAACAACTACTTAGGCAAATTTAATAAAAATTACAGATGATACGATTTAAATTCTAAGGAACATTTTATCAAATTTTCAGAATATGTTTTCTCGTAAAAATTTTTATGCAGTAAACCCGCGACCTACCTTAAGGGACACAGACTCAAGGAATTCATTTGGTGCCCCTTGGATAATCTTCAGGGATATTAAATATATCTCATATATCTGTTCAATCTTCCGATTCTCAGATTTAATATGAAACTAAAACTTAATACAACACTCTGAAGGAGTGTAAGGTTTCTATTATACATGTAGATATATTTGTAAAACCTGTGACATTTGATAATTAACACTTCTTTCACCAATAATTTTAATGAGAGGGAGGTTTACCAACATACAAACAATCAATATAAACCAATCATCTTTCAAAGATTGCGTTTTGAGATTCAGGTTTTTGTAGAAAAAACTTCACTAAATAGTCTCAATCTACACACCTTTATTATTTTGTTATTAAATATGACTAAGCATGAAATATTTTTTGAAGCAGAATCCATCGTATATAAATTTAAAATTTTAGAACATTTGAAGACAAGTCTTAATTTTTATTATATGAAACCTTTGAATCAATTTTGTTATATAATGTCCTAAAATAAATGGTAAAGCAATCCATTTCCTCTATTAAATTTTATTGAATATCTCAAAAGCAGTGTTCCGCTGGAGATGAATTCGATAAATCCTTTGTTCTTTCGCAAACTCCAGTTCCTGTACCTTGTTAAAACATCCTGAAAACAAAAACAAATTCTGAATAGACTTCTCTCACAACTGCATTCATGTTTGATTTGTGATATTGAATTACCTCTAATTTTTTCTCTACATCCCCTGTTTCGTTTAAAACAGCAACAGAATCGATGTGGTAGAAGAAGATTGATGGGAGATGGAATTCTCCATACATAGTCGTTAATAACAGTGCATGTGTTAAACCTCCAGTAGGTTTCAGAATTTTCTAGAACTCTTGTGAAGGTATTACTAAAAAGAGAAAAATTTAAATTTTTATTTCAAGCATTAAATATCATGAACCTTATATTCTGCATTTCTATGGTGACCTATCGAGAGCGTATCCCATATAGTGCATGTTTCCTGTGTAATAATTTTATCCGACAAAGAAGAGACTGAAAGACAGACAGGTTCAAGTCTTATCTCATATGATACAAAAAACATATATAAGCTTATTTAAAGCAATAAACAAGGAACAAAAGTTAATTTTAGATTTCAACTCAAGTTACCTAAACATGGCAATAACCAAATTCACTAAGACCAGGTTTGAGAACAGAATGTAGATGGCGGCTATGGCTGACACAGTCCAGTCCTTCTCAGGACAGCGATCAATGGAGGGGTCCGCCTTCCAGACGCTCGTCACGTTAGTACAGCTTGTTAGAATACCTCCTGCATCATTCAATAAAAAAAAAACAATATCACTTATTGTAGGCGGGGGTCGATTATGATTAATTATTATTTTAATAAGTCCAATAATAAAGAGTCAAATAAAGCGATACATGACAGGGAAAAATTCAAGAAGTGTATATTTTAGTTGCTTTTACATATGTAAGATGTAAATATAAGGAATGTTTTAAGTTATGTGTGAGTTATCGGTGTGTACAACACAAAAGACTTGCACGTAGATATATTTTTTAATAAAGGGCTCACTCCCTTCATGAAATATGCCTATGTGACATATCTGTGTGATTTACACACCAGTTACTCACACTTAACTTAAACAAGAGGCCCATGGGCCACATCGCTCACCTGAGCACTGTGGCTAGGAAAAAGTAGAAATTGGTTTATTATTGAAAAGTTTAAATCCAAAAGTAGTCCCATGACCAATCATGGATTTGCAGTTCTTGAGAAGATGATTCTTAAAGAATTTTCCTATATATAATAGGGTATTTCTATGTAAAACCTTGGTCGGCCATTGTGGCCCTGCCCTAACCCCTGGGGTCATGATTTGAACAAATTTGAATCTACACTAACTTAGGATGCTTCCATATAAATATGATCAATTATGGCTTTGTCATTCTTGAAAAGAAGATTCTTAAAGAATTTTCCTATATATTTCTATGTAAAACTTTGGTTGGCCATTTTGGCCCCGCCCTACCCCCAGGGGTCATGATTTGAACAAACTTGAATCTACACTACCTGAGGATGCTTCCATATAAATCTGATCAATTATGGCTTTGTCATTCTTGAGAAGAAGATTTTAAAAAAATTTCCTATACATTTCTATGTAAAACTTTGGTCGGCCATTTTGGCTCCGCCCTACCCCCTGGTGTCATGATTTGAACAAACTTGAATCTACACTACCTGAGGATGCTTTCATATAGATATGACGAATAATGGCTAAGGCATTCTTGAGAAGAAGATTTTTAAAGAATTTTCCTATATATTTCTATGTAAAACTTTGGTCAGCCATTTTGGCTCCGTCCAACCTCTAGGGGTCATGATTTGAACAAACTTGAACCTACACTACCTGAGGATGCTTTCATATAAATCTGATGAATTATGGCTTTGTCATTCTTGAGAAGAAGATTTTTAAAGAAATTTCCTATATATTTCTATGTAAAACTTTGGTCGGCCATTTTGGCCACACCCTATCCCCGGGGGTCATGATTTGAATAAATTTTAATCTACTTTACACAAGGATGCTTCCACATAAGTTTAAGCTTTCCTGGAACGCTGATTCCTGAGAAGAAGATTTTTAAAATATGCTACCAAATTTTCATTAATTCCCAATTATCTCCCCTTGAATGAGGGCGTGGCCCTTCATTTGAACAAACTTGAATCCCCTACACCCAAGGATGTTTTGTGACAAGTTTGGTTGAAATTGACCCAGCGGTTCTTGAGAAGTCGAAAATGTGAAAAGTTTACAGACAGACGGACGCCGGACAAAATGTGATCAGAAAAGCTCACTTGAGCCTTCGGCTCAGGTGAGCTAAGAAAACGTTCCTTAATTAATTTAGGTTGGACAGTTTTTTTTTGTTTTTTTTTTTACAATTTGATAGATATTTTACAGAATCCACGTATTTTCGATAAGAATGTCTTAAACATACCTTCCAAGTATTTATTGTTAGACTCCCCTTGTAACTGCCAGTAGGGATAATAAATTATCTTCCAAATTCTCCAGTCGACCCAATTTCCATTCCATAAAGTTGTGTGATCTGGCCACAGGACAGCGTGATAGTATACTCCTACTCCTAGTACAACAAACACAGCGAGGGCAAGGAAACGGGTAAGATCTATCAACTAGAAAAATAATATAAATACGTATTTCAACTTGACTTTTATTTTGATACAAGCTTCAGGGAATTTACTTTGGGTCGATACTGAGAGGGAGTGATTACCTGACCGACTTACGCCTTTGAAATATTCCTTCCAAACAGTGACAAAATCATTTTTTTTTCTTTTTCTAGGAAAGATATTTTTGTATTTTATAAATGGTATTGCAGATAAATGTACATCTGCAAACTGATGTCATATCTGCTACTGATAAGACAAGATGTGTTTATGAAACACGGCAACAAAGTTCGAAAAAAGCTATTTTTAACATATAGATCACAGTCAAGGTTACAAGGTCATTGATGTTGGTGTCATTTGAAAGAACTTGATTAGTGGACTATACACAACTAATGTGAAGTTTTTATTTCTTATGGTACAAAACGTATGGCGAGGGTACGAAAAAGCTATTTTTAGCATACAGGTCACAATCAAGGTCACAGGTGTAGTTTGTAAGACCGTAATAAGTTGAGTATGCATACCAAATATGAAGTCTCTACATCTTATTGTTCAAAAGTTAAGGCGAAGGTTCAAAAAAGCTATTCTTAGCATATAGGTCACAATCAAGGTCACAAGATCATTGACATTGGTGTCACTTAAAAAAGCTGAATAAGTGGAGTATGCATACAAAATATAAATTTTTTTATCTTTCATTATTTAAATGTTATGGCAAGGATTAATGTTAGCATACAGACAGACAGACAGACAGCACAAAAGCAATATGCGCACAGGAACCAGCCATCCGCGCGCATAAAAAATAAGATTACACAAAATGTAAGTAATTTTACTCTCTAGCTATAAACTACGGCTTTAGATAATCCTGACTTACCATTTCTTTTATCATTATCAGAAACGGTCCCATAATTCTGTACACCCTAAAAAATTCTAGGAATCTCAGGTACAGAACTAGGAGAGACAGAGAAAACACTCTCCTGGCTATAGTGAAGTCAGTGGCTGAATAGTAATGGCGCAGTAACAACGCTGTGAACATTAAGGCATACGAAAAGATATCCACCAAATTCCAGGAGTCATACAGGTGCCTCTTTAGCCTGGAATAATATCTCTTGTGTGACCGATCTCTTGTTTCCTGACAGCCCTATATTAAATCAAAGAAATGAAAAAAGAAATTTTTTATCAATAAATTTTGAGAGTACAAAATGTGTTTATAAATATAAAATCAATCAATCAATCAATATAAATGAATTTCAAAGATCAAAATATTTGTTTAATTTAGTATAAACTCTATAAAATATACATATGTTTAATAATTTGTTTTACATATTACCTGTAAATCATATAGAATCAATTCTGTGACATATTATCTGAACTTGAATTCACATAACATATTTCTTCAAAAGTTTCATTAAACATGGACAAAATCGATTCAGACAAATTACGGTAATACCAAATACACAGTCTTGAAAACTGATATTGATGATATAAAAAATAAGAATGTAGGAAATACCCATCATCAAAATATATAGCGATGAAAAAGGTTTCTCAAGTTGATACTTTTTCAATGATAATTTTACAGCTAAAGAAATGTATCTTACAAAGCAGATTATAAGTTCTTCCAGTAGGTCTCCGGCTCCCCAAATGTAGACAAAATACTCAAATCCTTTAATTGCGCCTTGTGAGTAGTATTCGTTTCCCAGTACTGGTCAGTACGAAGGCACTGTACATCAGTATTGTGACGAAGAAGATCAGCTGAAAATAACGGAAAAGAACAGGATTTCAATTTTATTTATATTTCTCTTTTTTGTAGTGGAATACTACATACATACTTTAAAGACAGTACTTATGAAATCTATTTTGATTTAACTATTCTTATGACGATTTTCATAACAATCACTTTAGAATACATTTTAACATTCCGTGTGAAAAGAATTTATTGACCATGTCCTTTATGTGTGTCAGACTGTGTTACTTTTTCAAATTAAAACCTACGTAATTTATTGTGTATTTTGTAACAGGAGCGCTGAAAAACTGTGCTGGTTTTCGAAAGGCAGACTGAAAAGAGAAAAAAATATGAAAATAATATTTTAATTTCCTCTACTGCGATATCTTCTAAATCAAGGTTATTGAACTGCAGTTACATTTAACTTTTCAAGAACAGGTTTTCAGTATCGCATTCAACATCTTACTTCTATTAAAAAAACATGGTTTAGACCAATGTCCTTAAATTTCTTTGTGTTGCATTGTCATAATATTCAGTTTCATCTAAATGTTACGTCATAGTAGTATTCACTTGCAAATTGAATCAATTTGTCATCTTATAAATTCAATGATGCCTTTTTGATTTAACAGACCATTTATCTTGTTGTTTGTAGTAAGTCAATTTGTGAAAGTTAGACTATACAAACCTTCAATATTGTCCACTTGTCGGGACCCAGGTTATTGTACCACTTTTTGTTCATGCTAATATAAGAGCAGTTGTGTGCCACAATATCATAAATGAAGTTTTCATTTGCAAAATCCAGAGGACTGGTTTTTATACCCCACACACTCACGTCTTCCTCCATCAGATTTACAGCGTTTTCTTCATCTTCGTCAAACATAAAATCCATCATTGCCAGACACTTGTCTCTAAATATCCTTAAAATGAAACAGCAAAACTTTGTTAACTTTACCATTGTTTTAGTAACAATATCATAGTCCTCAGGAACATCCTTCAGAAAAAGAGAATGGTAAACATAATAGGAGTCTTACTTGGAATGATCAGCAAAGTCCTTCAAAAGATTTTCATTTTTCAGTCTTTTTGCCTTTGCAGACATTTTTTTCAGCACTCCAGCACAAGCTAAACCTATAACTAAGATAGTTTGTGTTATATTCAATATAATTTATATCTGTTCGAAGAATTTGACTTTAATATTTTTTCAGAAAGATAAAAATCGTAATGTATTAAAAAGCATCATTCTTTTTTAAACTCAATTACAGTATAAATTAAATTTATGTCATTTTAATCAGATTTTTTTAAATTTAAGATTAACCATTCAATGCCTACATAAGTGATTCTGTGTTCGAAGCCAACAAATTTCAGCGATTTCCTTCCGATTTGCGAAAACCGACCAGAGCAAGATATCAGAGGATTTCACGTTATATGACTCTTCACTTCCCATTTCTTCCGTTCCTGCAGTGTCGTCCTTGTCTTCCAGTTCTGTCGAAAGAAAAAGAAACCTTGTGAACTCATTTATTTGTTCAATGCAGTACATGTATCATGATAAATAAGGCATTTAGTGTGATACATTACACGATGGTTTCAATAATATTGAAAATGATTTCGCTTCAAATGAATTCGAATTGTGATTAAAATGAAATTAATTGTTAATTGCAATTGAAATGAAATTCAATATTTATCTCATTTTGAGAAAAGTTACATTAAGAATTTGATACTCGCAATGATAACTAAGATATACAATGTTTATGGGTTTTTTTTTTTTGTAAAAGGGCCAATTTTCTTTCTTGAACTGCTTTTACAAAGTAGAAAAGAGTCAGGAAGATATTGTATAAAATACATGAAATAACTCATCAGTTTACCTGGGTAACCCATGAATTTCCGAAATAATCGTATTGCGAATAGAGCGAACTGTTTTTGTGTCTCTTCGTTTTGACTTATGTACTCCCAAACATTCTGGGCGTCATCAGAGTCTGCTTGCTAAAACAATATGCCTCCAGTAAGAAAAATATGGTAGTTTTGCCTTTCATTAATAAGAAATTCTTTTCTGTTAATTAATTTACGTTGACAGAGAAATGATACTGCATTTTAATTATTTACTGGGCAAAAAAAAAAAAACAAAATCAAGGATCTAAAAAAAATGTTTAAAGGGATTTTTTATGCAAAAACATACAAATTTTAATTGTGAAAATGTTCACTACACACACACACACACAAAAAAAAAGATTTCCGCAAAAAAAACTACTATGTTTTCATCAACAATCTTTAAATAAAGTGTTAAATTTTAGAATATTTTTAAAGATTGAATCAGGAACAGAGAAATCATACCTGGAGAATCCACTGTAAGCTGGCATCAGCTTTAGTCTAAAAACAGATTTTATCAAAAGCTACATGTTAATTAGTAATGGATAATTACTATTTTAAAAAATAGTATAATTAAAGATACAGTAAGAGATCAACATGTATAAGTAATTTAGGAAAATGTGTAACTTTACACAAACATGTTTTCAAATTCTACTTATTCTTTCGAAATATAAATGTCTGTTGGAATGGTTGTAAACTTTAAAAATATAACATCTATTCAACCTGTTCGTATAATTCTGCTAAATTTAAGAATTCAAAGGGCACTCCTTGGTCAAGTAATATTCGTACGTAGTCACATCTATTGGTAATTAATGCTTCCAAAAGCAGTTTCTGTAAAAAAAAAAAAAGAATCAAGGAAAATTAAAGCATTATTACCTGCATTTTTGATAGTGTTATTTAGCTGTTAAAAGGTGTTATTATGATAAATAAGTATGTAATTTAAATCTCTATGATCAGTTTAACTATACTAAAGTTCAAAACTGTTTAAAGAGAAAGACTTTTGAAACAAGAAAATACATATTATTATTTTAGAAATCAATAGTGTGCACGACAACAATAATGTAATTTTACTTTATTCAAAGCTTATTAATACATGTACAATGTAGTTCTTCCATTGCAAAAATAAGCAACCAAGATTTACAAATATTCTTTTTCTCTGATCTTGAAGTAGTTAATTATAATTGCGCAATAAAAAATTCCGATATCAAAGTTGCAGCTCATATTGTTTTAACAATTGAACACACCATCTACAAATATATTGCCAAGACATTATAATTAACCATATTTAGTACATGGCTCGAATTATTACAAGAAGAAAACTGTCTTACGTGACCATGTTCTTTTAACTGTCCTTGCTCCTGAAGAAACTGGTACTCAAAGTAGAAGAACAATGGTAAAGACGTCGGGGAGGAGTACTTAGGGTCGGACACATACGCTATTGGGTCTCGGTATCGCTTATGCATCTCTTGCTCACTTTTCATTTTGGCTTCTTTGTAAGAATTTGAAAAAAAAATAGAATTAGAAGTACTGTATCAATACGACTGATATGAAAGAAATTTCACGACAGCAGATAGGAGAAAATGCATATATGTCACAACAAAATTAATCTATCGGCATTAATTAAGAAAAAAAAAGTTTTTCATAACACAATATTAACTTAAATTCTTGGTTTATTTGGCTTATCAAAAACTCGTGATACAAGTTGTTTATCATTGAATGGCTTAATGAGATTTGCGGAGCAAATTTTTCCGAAAGACCTAGCTGCAGTCAGCCCAGAAATAATGTATGAAATTTACCAGGTGTCTAACGGATACGTGTTGATTTAGGACTCTTGCTTGCCAGGATGCAATTAACAAACGTGATCTACATCTCGCTAAAATTCCTTCTTTAGATTTAAATACCTGTATTTTTATTTCTTAAAATGTTTTCCATAGCCCAGCAGTTGATTATTGCTTTACCAATTATGTTCGAGAGCATCAATGGGTCATCACTGTTAACATCAAAGACACTTATCTGTAAAAGAAAATAAAAAAGAAATACCAAGGCTGTCATAGTACACTCGTAATTTTCTTTCAATTATATACATGTATTTAGATTTATTAAAAAATGAAAGAATGAGATTAAACTAAAATTAAAGTCTCAAATGTTTTCTAAGGATTTAATTTAGTCACATTATATTTTCGTATAGTCAGATGATAATTCGCTGTCAATGCAAATTTGAAAACAAGAGGCCCATGGGCCACATCGCTCACCTGAGTAACTTGGGTGATGCAGATCTTTTTTAAAGATTTGTTCTATATATATTTCAATGTAAAACTTAGATTCCCTATTGTGGCCCCTCCCTACCCCCGTGGGTCATGATTTTAACAATTTAATATCTACACTACCCAAGGATGCTTCCACGTAAGTTTGAGCTTTCCTGGCCCAGTGGTTCTTGAGGAGAAGATTTTTTAAGATTTGTTCTATATATTTCTATGTAAAACTTGGATTCCCTATTGTTGCCCCTCCCTACCCCCGTGGGTCATGATTTTAACAATTTAATATCTACACTACCCAAGGATGCTTCCACATAAGTTTCAGTTTCCTGGCCCAGTGGTTCTTGAGAAGAAGATTTTTAAAGATTTGTTCTATATATTTCTATGTAAAACTTGGATTCCCTATTGTTGCCCCTCCCTACCCCCGTGGGTCATGATTTTAACAATTTAATATCTACACTACCCAAGGATGCTTCCACATAAGTTTGAGCTTTCCTGGCCCAGTGGTTCTTGAAGAGAAGATTTTTAAAGATTTGTTCTATATATTTCTATGTAAAACTTGGATTGCCTATTGTGGCCTACCCCCCATGATTTTAACAATTTAATATCTACACTATGCTTCCACATAAGTTTGAGCTCTACTGGCCCAGTGGTTCTTGAGAAGAAGATTTCTTAAGATTTGTTCTATATATTTCTATGTAAAACTTGGATTGGGGGTCATGATTTTAACAATTTAATATATACACTACCCAAGGATGCTTCCACATAAGTTTCAGCTTTTCTGGCCCAGTGGTTCTTGAGAAGAAGATTTTTTAATGACCCCACACTATTTTTGTATTTTCTTGATTATCTCCCCTTGGAAGGGATCTTGGCCCTTGATTTTAACAATTTAAATTTTCCTTCACCCAAGAATGCTTTGTACCAAGTTTGGTTAAAATTGGCCCAGTGGTTCTTAAGAAGAAGTTGAAAATGTGAAAAGTTTACAGACGGACGGACGGACGGACAGACAGACGGACGACGGGTGATCAGAAAAGCTCACTTGAGCTTTCAGCTCAGGTGAACTAAAAATGAAAATACCGTTCGCTGACCACTGATAATAAACACCCTGTAAAGGTATTTCTAGATACATGTCACAACCTAATAGATTTCAGCTAAAATGACGAAAAAGGCATTTCCCAACACTGTTCAATAAATGAAAAATTTTTGTTTTAGTTTATGTAAGGTTGGTTTTTTCTGGGATAACCCTCGTATATTGTTTTTGCTAGCAAGCTAGGCAGTTTTAGAAAGTTTAATTTTTAAAACTGTTAAATGTATATGAAACTGTAATCATCTGTTTATCACCATTTTTTAAATATTTTGAATGGTTTAAGAAACGGTTCGTAGTTCGCAGTTTATAAGCCATTGGGAGATACAAAATCCACATCATGGATGGTTGTATTTTGCTGGATAAGTAAGAGAGGGCGGCTTTAGAAAAATTGAAGTTATTGTGTTTACTACATTGCTTTGTGCTTTTACGAAATTTTGTTTTTAGTACACTATCTAAATATGAATCAGAAAAATCGGTTTCATGGATTTTTCCCTTTTTTCTTAGCAAGAGTAGACTTTAATTGCATGAGGCTCATTATCCGGTATAAACATGTATATTTATGAACGTGCACTAGATTTTACATAATCTTATGTAAGGCTTTTTTCACCAATCTTAAATAAAAATTAATTTGTTTTCCAAACTCATCATACTACAAACCAAATCAGATGCCTGGATTATCTCGTCTAGATCCTTCCTCACTCTTCGGTTAATATTCTCATCAAATCGAAGTCCGAAAAGAACTCTTGCGTTCTTTCTAAAATCGTCTTTCCTTCAAAACAATTTTATACATGTAAAATCCTTCTTAAATATTTCAAAATAAAGAAGAACGTTTGTTGTCTTTTTTTTCCCAATGGAAGAAGGGAGTTGGAAAGGATATAGTCCTATAGTATCTATATGCAAACTTTTCTCATCACTATTTTTTCAGTAAATTTCATTTGCATATATAAATCAAGCTTCATAATATTTATACATATTTTTTCCAAAAAGTTTCGTGAAGACTTTAATATTTTAAATTTTAGTTTAATTTTATTTTTACATCCCGCATTAGGAGGTATACAAACTTTTCCAAGAAGTCCAAAATGAGATCCGTCGCTCTTCCCGATCCCTTGATTAATATGACCGGGATCTTTCTTTTCAAAGTTTCAGAGATGTGTTCAATTGTATCTATATCACCCTCACATGATATTACGACAATTGGGATTGGCAATTCTGAAATCACAGATGATTCAAATAAGATAAAATGTTAATAGTTATGTTTTGAATCGTGTTTATGGGCATATTTTTATACATACCTTTAACACTGAAGAGTTATTTTAGAACAAGTTTGTAATAAAAAGCTTGGTAAAAATGAGGTACTTTATCAGACATTTAACAGCATGTAACTGATATTAGTCGTCTTCATATATAAAATGTGTATACATTCAGAACAAAATTATATATATAAAGAAATGCAATATATTTCTGCTAAAAAATAAACATGGTATAGAAATGAAAGGAAATAAGTTATATAAATTACTTATGTCTATCGTTTGACTAAGAAAAGGAACTTCTTTCTTTGACACGTATTCCTGGAAGCCTTGTAAGAAGGCAATCTTGTCCCTGGGTTCAATGCTGCATTTCGCCTCTGTTGATTCACTGGTGGTCTTAAATAGGAAAATATGTGATTCTTGTGAACTTAATTTTTAAAAGGAGGTTTCTTTACTATTTTAAAATATTCTATAATAAAAAAAAAAAACATTCTAAATTGTCACACGCAATTAATTTATTATGACTGTTTTGCTTTATTCATTTTTATGGATTCTTTTCTCTATACGTATTACTTGGATATGTAATATACTTTATTTTTCTTTGTAATATCCATGTATGAACAAAACATAGAATATAAAAATTGTTACAAAACAACGCATTTCGAAATGCAAATGCCCTATTGTATTTGCGATTAAAGAAAAATGATTTTTATGGATTCGTATACCTTTAGTTGTTTTTGTCTTATCCAATGTTCGTGAAAATCATATGGCTCCTTTTTGTCATTGATATTGGGAATCTGCATTACAGAAAAAAATCATAAAAGTGAGTCCCTTTGACAAATGAGAAAGAAATGTCGATATGGAGATTTCTTCGATGAAATAAAATTGAACATCTCTCACCATTAAAATACAAATGGAAACATTCAGGAAAATTCATAGCGTTTTTTAAAATCATGTTCATGTATTTTGAAACATATTTTCTTTTAAAAAACTTTCTATTGAAGCTTTTTTAACATAGTTTTTATTTCTTCTACAGAGTGATATTTTCTAATGATGGAAAGAATCTTAAAGACAATTATGTAGAGTAAAGCAGTAAAATTTGGAATAATTTAGCAAAACTTAAGTTTTTTCAATATTTTAGGGAAAGTATGAAAAACGACAATATCGTCCATTTCTAAAAAAAGGATTTATGAATTTCATTGAAATTCATGACTAAATAGACAAAAACACATACCTTATCTCCTAAGTCTTCTACAATTATATTCCCATTTTGACTTTCCTAAAATCATAAAAACTTTTTATAATATTTTTTTCTCCTATTGACTTAAACTGTTAAATATAGTGTTGCTAAAACAGATACTGTACCTGATTTGTCACTTGCGGGGCTTTAGAAGATGCAGTTTTTCCAGCAATACCTATTAGTTTCACGTGTCTTTTTGTATCGTTTATGAGAACCTTACGACTTTTCGCACGAAATTCCATGTCCCCGTACTTTTGATATGCACTGCGTACAATGGAAGATACGCCATAGTTAAATCCACGATAAAGTATCCATGTATCTAGAGAAAAAAAATCAGGATTTTTTTCTATTCAGGCGACACTTTTGTCCTCTGAATTCCTTATATTCCTACTCAAGAGTTGTAGAAGGTTTCTTATACACTGAACACATATTTCATATCTTTTACATTCTCGTTTTTGTCTTTATCCTATATAAATATGTTACTTTGCAATTGTAAACTCTTGTTGCAAGTAAATTAATTGTTTGTGAAATACCAACCCCCTCCATTTTTAGCCGCCTCAATCAGTGCTGTTTGGAACACTGATTTTGCCCACGGAACGGGAACAAAACTGTCAGAATCTCCAATGACGGAAAACACTATTGATGGTGTGGATCCAACTTTTTCTTTAATTTCTGTCCACGCTTTTTCGACATCAGACTTGTTCATTAATTGAAATAATCAAAATTGTAAAACATCTGAGAATAAAATAAATCAAGAATCCGTACAATAACCTTTTTTGGACAATTCCTGTTAATAACGCTTATTATGAAGAGAAATAAGAATATTTTAAGACTGAAAATTTAGTTTTAATCATTAAATCACAAAATTTTCATATAGTGATATCTAAATCACGTTGGTTTAATTACTTTGGTGCTAAAGGGGTAAAGTAGTGAATGCATTTGTTTAAGATTCACCAGTAACTTTTAAAACACATTCATCATTGCTGATTTTAACTTCCCATTCACTGCCTGTTTCTGGCTCTTCAACACTCTAACTGTTTATCCAAGTCCTATTTTGTTTTGAATTCATTTTGTATTATTATCATTGAATAGTCCTCACCTTTGAACCGTGACTGTCTTCACCTGGTTTTGTAGACATGTTTGATACTAGAAGTCGTCCTCCATGTAAAATCTTTCAAAAGTAAAATAACCAAAATAAGTATAAACAACATATTTTACGATATATGGCCCATGTCTGGGTAAGTTTCGATTACACTTTGAAAACAAAAACATTCAAGAGCCACAAAAAATGTTATTTTTCATAACTGATTAGTTCTTATCATGCATAGTGCTACTTTTTGCTCCTTGGTAGGACTTAAAAACATAATTTGCAGTGCGTCTTAAATTTATACTCACATATTTACCTAAAATGATCATTTAAACAATAAATATTTACAACATTTTGATTCTTGCTAATACGAAAGCTTTACATATGAAGTATTTGTCAAGGTTGGACGCTCAGTATATATTTTATCATCACAGCCTCACTTTTGTACCCTTTAACTATCAATAAAATTTGACATGGCGGACTCTGAAAATTCCACACACATAAAGTAATCTTTTGAAGTCTTGTAAGATTTTTTCATCCATTAACTGACATGATTCAAAAGGATTATTCGAATTTTATTTTCCTGCTACTTTTGTCTTTCTATTTGACCAATAAATGGGGCTATTGTAGCAGTGTACGGTCAGAAGGGGACTCTTACTCCAAGTAGGAGCTGATCCAATCTGCGGAATTCCAGTTGGATTGCCTTGTTCACATATTCCTTTCGCTTGTAGTATTGTATGTATTTATTTAGATGTCAGAAACCTTTCTGAGCCTTAAGCTACCAGTATGTGGAAACGTATCTTTTTTAAAATCACATTTTCTTCGGAGAACCTTACTGTTTTCATTCTGATCCTTCTAATCCTTATTAAAATAATCTTTTTCATAGTATCAGCTTTAATCGATCGGTGGAAATCGAGTTCGGAAATTTATTCATTTTCTTTTAAAATGATGCATCTAAATTTTTATAGATAATACAAGAAAAAGGTATATTTGTCCTCACATTTTTTTCAGGACAAAGAATCACTGTGTTTAAAGGAGAAAAACATGTATCTGTCCAGTGCATTGCTATTTCTTGTATTTTTGCATTCATCATTTCCAATGGACTACAAATTTAAGGCAGTGTAAATAAGTATGAAAAATGAAACTTTTTTATTCTCTCAAATTATTAAAAATAGTACAAAATAATGTGTAAATGGGATGTATGTTTGAAACGTTTTTCTGACTTCAATCGGAAATAACGCCTGAGAAGTACATATAAAATTTAAAACTAGAAGTTGTTAAAAAATGATTGTTAGTCAATATCAATAATTTGCGCTAATCAACTTTCAATATCAAACTTTAAAGACATCACTACCAATCATTTTGATATTCATAATTTTTTAGTGAAATGTCCATGAAAATGCTAAATAAATTTATTGTATCAAACATTTAATATCTTTATATAAAAAAAACCATAAGGAAATTAAACATATTCAAAAGTTTAAAGATATTTTATTCTTTTAAAATTCAAAATTGTTTCAGTTTAGAATATTTCAATAAAGAGATATTTTTTACCTTTCCGTTAAGCCAACCTCCAAAATTTCGAAATGTATATCTTCCCTACGACAGGGATTAATTATCTTGTGCACTATACCCGATCAGTAATATATATGTCATTAATTTGGAAAAAATGTTAACGCAAAATAGATTAAAACAGGCGGTTTAAAGAGTCATCGTTTAGTGCCTCTTTAAGAATTAATCTCTGTTGATCAACAGATAGCATGATTCTTTTGTTAGAGAACAGCTAAGGCAGTAATTTATGAATAAGAGGATTTAAGTGATTGTGATCAGTAACTCCTTTGAGGCGGGCCGCAGAAACTTTATCTTGCTTTTATTGTTGACGAATGACACACAAATAAGTACATTCTGTAAAACAATCATATGTGTGGCAAATTTTCCTTTGATATTGGTGAACAAAAGACACATTTTCATTAGATCATTAGAAAATTGGGAAAAAAATTCTTTTGCAAAGGAGTCAGGAGATATAACAAAATCACGATTATCAAAAGAAAGTGTCGTAATTTGCATCCGGATCGATGTCGAATTTGGTTTTGGTTTATAGAAACGCATTTTGCAAAGGAAAGCTTCACTTTTCGGTGCCTTTGTTACATAAGAACGACATCCTTATACGCATTAAAAATTTCGGAAATTTGTTTAACATATAACACTGCGACATTTAAGTCCGGACACGACAAATTCCGGACTTTAAGGTACCCTTTCGAAAAGACCTACATTAGATTTTTTTCTATATTTTGGTGGGATTTTTTATTCTGACCTCATCATGTCAATCTCAACTTCCACATTGTAGTAGTTTTCTCATAAACCTCTGTCAAAACCTAAAATCCCATGGGAGAATGGCGGGATTTTTCATCCCACCAAAAATCCCACCAAAATCCCATGGGAGAAAAAGTACTGTGGGATAATTTCTCCCACATGGGAAAAAAAATCCCACGGTTGTTGCAAAAATGGGATTATTTTTCCCACAGGACAAAATATCCCACTAATTGATGTCAATATAGGATTTATCCCATATTTTTGGTATGTGATGGGGGAAATTATCCCACCAACCTATTAAATATATAACAAATCTGAAATAACCACAATAAGTAACCTTAAGCACCGTTAAGAGTGGTGTTTTATTTCTAGTGCCGAAGAATGTAACATGTAGTATACATGTAGTATTCTCAAAATATTTTTTTTTTCATTATCATTTTTTGTTATTTACCCCCAATAAGGCATATTGTCTTGCTACTGATGATTTGTCTGTCCACCATCAGTTGCCATTCATTTTCTTTGCAGTGGTTGTACACATTGAAATGATATTTTACATGTATCTATCATATGAATATCTAGGTCTACGCAGGTTATCTATGTTACAATATATTTCTTTAACTTCTCTGAATGATTATGATTATAATGACAGCTGCTAACATAATTAATTAACATGATTAATGAATCCAAGATATGAACTTCATAATTCTGACAGTACTTTTTACATGTCTTTCAATTAAAAATGTGTCAAAGTCACAGATTTGTACTTCTGTTATTGTGTTTGAGCTACAGTCATATTTCATTATTTGTTCACATGTAACATGCTCCTTCCTAACACTTCTTTCTGATGATAATAAAATGTATTTCTTTTTATTTACACCTGTTTAGTGTCTGTTGAAAGGTGAATTTACCCAAGGCTCATATACAGCTATACTATCTGTACCTGTTGATATAACTTTGACCATTTACTGATTTATATACTCACTTGCTAGTTGCTTCACTTTGTGTTGAGATGATAATGAACTAATTCAAGAATGTTAAACCAATATCTCAAAGAAATGAATATGAATGAGACTAAATTGATTTAAATGTACGTGAATTAATCCTTAAAATTTAGTCTTTAAATCAATTATTGACTAAAATCTGATCAAATCACCAAATTCTTCTTTCCGAGTTCTTGCATCTCTGTTGCGACAATTCATCAAATGATGTAATATTTTACTACGATTGCCAAGCGCAGTTGAGATCTCGGATGATTTACAGTCAACTCGTACACAAACCAAGTCGTACTTAAGGTTTTAAAAAAATTGAGGAGTCAACTCCTCTACAAAGGTTTTTCTTTATGCCTCTGATTTTTCCTATACCATTATGCGCAGATTGTCTTTGTTTTCCCGGTGTAATTAAATCTGAGGCATCAACTCCTACATATTTTAAGTACAGCTCCGTGTAAAAATCATGCAGACAGTACAGAAAAGGTGATTCATCGACCATCTTCAAATTTAATAAAATTGGGTTTAATATATTCATTTGGGTCTAAAATGAATATAAACAGTTGATTTTGTTATAATTCTTCTTTTTTCATATAGCCAGGGATAAAGTACTTGAGGTGTAATTTTGTATAGATAGTGTGCAAATAATGCCTATTTCAGATAAGAATATCTTTAAAACCCTAGAAGATGTACAAAAACTTAATACATAATTCAAGTGAACATGGAAGGCTTAATAAAAATTTACTTTAATATTTTTGTGCAAACGAAGTATTGAAAAGATACATGGTGTTTAAAATCGAGAATTTGTCAAGATTCTTCAAATGAGTTATCTCCCTTTGCAATTTTACATAGGTGGCGCTAGTAAAAAAAAAATGGCAGCCTCCATGGTTAGCTGTACGCTGCAAAGTTATTTTGATGCATCCTGTAATGTTTATTGCAAAAATATGTGTGAAGTGACATAAATTGGTTGAAAGGATTCTACAAGAACAGATTAGGCATAGTTTTCGGGCAAATTATAGCCATGTGTCGTGTTGATTAGTATATTGACCTTGTTGACCTCCCGAAATGGTACTCGCCTACTGACACCGTTGTGATCTATCTCAGAAGTTTAAATTCTACGGTAATCCACCAGAGTCCAAGAGTAAACTCTCAGAGAGGGATGGCAGTCCGATTTTGTCAGCTTACTCGACTTGGAGAGGGAAGATAATTTACATTTGGACAGTTACATCTGACCAGGTAAGATGAGGTCCAGAACACTGCAGAACAATTTCTTGATTAAGATAATTAATTTTGTAGCTTGAAATAGCTATGTAGCTTTAA